TGCACTTAGTTGCCTCTGCTAAATGAAGACTGCTCTTCCAGAAGCAGAAGAACTATTAAGCTATTTAAAGAAAGAGATTTGGCAAAATACAAGGGAGAGCCAGATGTTAGCTCAGGATAAGATGCCAGTATCCTTTGGTCTTTTTGAAGAATATTGTAATTCTGACCCAAATTGGCCTATGGGTCGCCTTGGGAAATTGGATGCAGGTTCCAAGTCAACTATAAGCAATCTCTGATCATTCAAATGTTAAATGATATGGGTTATTTATTTATTTATTCAATCAATCAATCGATCGATCAATCAATCAATGACCAGCAAGATAGATAAAAAAATTGCTTCCAATTTTCCTAGCCAATTATAGCTTTTTAAACTAGGTGGAAGACTAGCTACTAAGTTATCAGTCTTTTAACTACTATAAGGATATAATCACAAGGGTTGCATAAAAATTTCAGTTTCTGTATAAACAAATCATCCCTCTTTTGTTAAGGAAATTGTGGGGGTTGATCCACATAATCTGAAAAGGAACATTTTACCTGCCTTTAGGATTATATCTGTTCAGAGAGCAGACTGAAGTGGTCATGAGGAAGTTAGTGGTGATTGAGGCAGTTTAAACTATGAAAAACTTCATATTTCAATATTGCTCTGATGTTTGGTTGCTTCTTGAGTAAGACACAAGATGCAATGCATTTTCTGAGGTATAGCTATCCTGTACAGAACATTGTACCAGTTCATGTATTTGGATTCTATATGTACATTTCTGTAAAGAGATACTGGTCTGCTTTATTCCAAGATATCTTGGTGGGACTTTTGGTGCAACTTCTCAAATATTTCTGATTGATGTGTCACCTTCCATTACTCCTTTAAAGAAAGTATGCTTTAGTTGAAATTTGATTGTCCATATTTTGCTAAGAATAACTTTCAGTAAGACTGGCAGAACAGAATGGTTGCCGGATTAGTCTAGATGCATAATTTTCACTGCGTCTCCATAAGCAGTGTGAACATGTGGGCAAAGAGGTCACAATGCACAGTTCAGGGGAATCAAGCAATATCTGAGATTTAGAAGAGTGGTTCTAATAGAAGAGGGCAGGAAATGCATGGACTTTAGTAGTAACTTTGGGTTACTTCTTGAATATCTGGCCATAGTTAACAAGCAAGTTTTATATATATATTATATTTGTAAATAATCAAATTTTTAGTTCCCAAATCCCTAAATTTAAGAAAACATTAATTCTAGTCTCCTTTTAATAAATTGAATATATTTTTTGCTAGTTAATGACCAAAATAAGGCTCTCCTATGATAAGCTACGATTGTTTTATAAATATCTGTCCATAATTAAGTTGAACAAATAAATTGTTTTAAAGCAAAAGGTCTATTCAGTTTTTACTGTATGCAATAGGTAAATTAGTCACATATTAAGATGATTTTAAAAACAATGAGGTACATTTTAAAATATATTTATAATCACTGTAGGGTTGTTGCTGGTTTTTTGGTAGTGATAGTAACAGCAACAGTAGGAGAGTTTCCATCAGAAGACAGACTGCAGGAGAATAATAGTTTTGTTAACATTCCTCGTTTTGGATATTTGCTCGTCGTAATCCTGTTCTTCCTGGTCTTGTAAGCTCTTCAATGTAGCATTCCTGGCTAGATTTCACCCTAAACTAGGCCTTGCTCAAACTTGTCTTAAAATACCAAAACAGGGAGAAAAAGATATAGCCAAAATCTATTGTATTCAACAAAATGAAGAGCTTGCAGAGTAATTCTACTAGTTTATGATTAACTGTCCCTGCTAGATTGGTCAATAATCAGAGGGAATGAAAAGCTAAACTGTATCATTTAGCAATGGTATCCCATATTCCACTTCACAATTAGAGGATCAGGATATAACCTATTATATCAAAGGAGCAAGGAACATGGAAGGCTGCTTTGCATTGCATGCAATTTAGCCCACTAGAGTCTCCTGGCTAGTGCCAATTTTCAAAGTATCAGGTAAGGGGTTTTCCTGATTACCTTCTGCTATGTAGATTTGGCAGGGATGAAATCTTTCATGTACAAACCTCCAATAATCTCAGGCATCATTGTTCTGAGACATAGTTGCTAGGGAACCTAAGAGGAAGAGTGCTATTGTCTTTTTATCCAATTTAAAAGCTTCTCAGTAACATTTGGTTTGGCATTTGGGGAAACATAATATGGCAGAAATCTTAAAAGCAGAAACCTTAAAAGATATGCTGAAATTCTGAGGTAAAGTCTATCTCCCCAATAGTTTAGGAAATCCTGCTTGCTACATGACCTTTCATCCTATACAGTACAAATCCTCTCAACTGAGAGAAGCAATTGGAATTAAGTAAGCTTTAACTGTGAATGTCTTATCCTGGTATCTGGAATCTGTGAGGGTCTGAATGGGGAACAAGCTTCAGTTGAATCCTGGCAAGACTGAGTGGCTTTGGGTTTTGAGGCTCACTAGTTCCACAACTATACCATATTTGATGCTGGCTGGGTGGCATTGCCATAGATTGACCTGGTGGGCAGTCGGGGAGGGGCACATCTCCTGCTCAGTGAGCAGGTTGCAGTCATGATTAGGAGGGCCTTTGCACACTTGTGTGCCAATTGCACACATTCTTGGATCAGCAGGTCTTACAATCACTCATGCCCTAATTACTTTCAATTTGGACTACTGTAATGGGGTTGTATCTGGAAGCTTCAGCTGGTAGAGAATGTAGTGGCACAGGAAATTATGTATGCTTGTAGAATAGTATTATTAGCTGCATTGGCTGCTAGCTTGCTTCCGGGTCCAATTCAAGGTACTGGTTTAACCTTTAAAGCTTTTCATGGCAAGGGACTACCTCTTCCCAATTACATCTGCCCACCGTATTAGATCTGGCATATGGGGCATACTGTATCATGCATTCCATCAGCTAGATACAGTATGTACATTTGATGAGTTCCAGGCAACAGGCCTTCTCTGTCATGGTGCCTTATGGAACATTTTTCTCTGTGAACTAAGATTAACTCCATCCCTTTTGACATTCTGGAAGTCCCTCAAGACCTGATTATGCCACTAGGCCTGGGACTCCCAGGCAACTGGAGACATACTGTATCTAGATGTCTTCATTGCTGAGGTAGATACTTTCGTTCTCTTTGCCTATGTATTTTACTTTTAATATTTATCTTTTAATACTGATTCTTATATTTTTATACTGTTTATTATCAGATTGGTATATGCCACCCAGAGTAACTTTTTGTGAGATAGATGGCCATACCAATTTGGTTAATATATAATGAACTCACAAGAGGGAAAGGTGTTAGGTAAGGAAGGGAGGTATAATAGATGCCTATGGGTTATTCTTTGGGTTCAAAGAAAACATGTTGTTGTGCAATTTATTTGTGGATAAGGACACGGCTCTGCAGTCCCAGTCTGGAAGTGAAGAATCTAACAGATTTGGGGCACTGAAAATCCATTATTGCAGTAACTGTGTTATTCTGCAATACTATACTACTCATGGTTTTCTATCAGTTTTGATAGGACTTATCTTTAAAGCTAGTGGAGGCTTTATAGCAAATTGGCATCCACCCAAGAAAATGAAATTTCAGGAATATTAAAACCAGGGGAAGGCATACAATACATAAGAATCCTTTTAATCAAAGCAGAAAGGTTTTCAAAGATTCATTAATAGTACTGAAGTCTAGTGCTCTCCTGAGGGTTAATTAATCTGGTTGGTGAAAGTACATAAACATACACAGAGAACAACAAAAGGCCAAAAGGAATACAATGTACCTAAGCTGATTGGGGAATGGACTTACTATACATGATTGGAAAACAATTTGGACTGGATTTTTTTTTTGGGGGGGGGAGATGTATTGACAACAGAAGTTTATGATTCAGGGGAATAAGATGCAATTGTTGAGAAAATTCTAAACTAAGATGACTGTAATAAGTTTTGTTTTTTGTTTTTAAATTCTGATTCCAGATTACTAAAATTTCTTTGTTCTGCATTCAAGAAATAACTCATTTATATTTGACATGAAGGCTCCAATTTCTCCCCTTGTCCTTCCAAACCTGAAATACCACAGGTGACAAGGAAGACATTTGAAAAGCACTGTTTCAAATGTTATATATATAAAATGAGGGAAATAGTTTTATTAGGCTTTGGAAGACAGCAGTATTGCAATACAAAATAAAGTTACAATGGCAAGAAAATTGAATTTTAAGAAAACTCTTTTAAGTTGCATAGGAAAATCTGGAAAAAGACACTGCGGTTGTGGGAGTAAGAAGATGGGGTGATCAGAGATTCCAAACCATTCTGAACACTTAAGCACAGAGTCAGGGGCAAAAATTTCAACTACTGACATTGTTATAAAATGCTTTAATAAATAGTTTTCATCTGAAAACTACAGAAGAACATGTCAAACAAAATGTACTGCACAGAAGTTTCTGCAAAGCAATTTCTGCGTTCATGTATAAAAAGTGGTTCCAAAATGGCCAAGCCATTGAAATATTTGTTTCCTTTGCAATTACAGGATAACCCACTTAACATAGGGTTTTATCAGTAATTAAAATAAAAGTAGAGCTCATTTCTTTAATAATAAAGCCTTTTTTAAAAAAAGAACCCCACAAATGATGCATAAGCCTTCTATTAAGAATAACAATTTCTCCTGAGATTTTCCATCATGTAAGATGGAACCAGATGTTACAACCAATGCAAAGCTGAGAAGAACAGGCCTCTATTCTCTCCGCATGCATCTAGTGACCCCAAACACATGACATGATGATGCTGTGCTGCGGGTTTACCTGCCTCCACAAGTAGCAGCTAATGAAGTGACACAGAGGCAGGAAACTCAATTCAGTGGCATCACCCCATCAAACTTGAAGAAACACTAGTTATCAGGGATAAAGGAAAGAATCCCACAGCTAATTGATAATTGGCAGGTTTCTGCTACACCACCTAAATCCAGCATGTTTGCCAACATGTTTTCTAGCGTGAATAAGCATAACAAACAAGAAATGAGAATATTGTTCCCTTCATTAGGCCTGTATTTAAAAAAATGCAAAAAAGCAATACCACATGTAATAGAGACATTCACAAGAAAAAGAATATCGCCCTGTCATCTTTATGCTGTACAGGATACTTACTCTCTGTGTTCTTGAGATGCGAGGAAACACCTTGGATCTATTTACATGTGAAATGGTTGCAATACATTGAAAAAAAGTACAAAAAATGACCAACAGCTTCCCAACATTAATTATAGTAACATCATTTTCTAATATGAACATAATACCAAAATAAGGTTTTTGTATCTTTTTTAGAAATTGCCATAAAACTTCCCTTTCTGCGACATAAATTAAAAAGGAATGACATTTAAAAAGATCAAAAATATTTTTAAGTTATTAACTCAAATATACAGAAGTGATTCATTTAAATATATACATATTTACAAAAATGCACTTGCACAATTTGAAAATAAACTGTATCAGTCTGAGAGAACCAAATATCTTCTTATGGTAAACTTAGATGGGCATGGCAGTCTTTGACAGTTGCTATTGAGAAAGCAAGATGATATTTCAAGGCACTTGGTATGTGCTTCAATACTGCATTTCTAAGGAAATTAAACCAAATTGACAGAGTCAAATTAAAAAGGCCACTTTTTCTAACCAATCACAGTTTGAAAGATCTCTATAGATTTTCTTTTGTTCACAGAATAAGGCATTTTTTTTTCAAGGGGACAAACTTGTAGAAGTATAGAGAGAAGCTTTTAGTAAATATTAACAAGAACACTTCATGTTTTCTTCCTTAAGTTTAGCAACTTCCTCAACCAGGAAGTTTCTAAGCCACTGTTGTAACAAGTAAAAACAAAACAAAACAAAACAACCTCTCCATTTTGTAAACAGTGTTGAGCTTTCTGTGATAAACCTTATGAATTGAAAATACAAACTTCTCTCCTCTGCCTTACAAGTGTATTATAAGTAAAATTTACAAAAATAGCAACTATCAAAGATTACTCTATCATCTGACAGTCATTGAATAATTTATACAAGGCTAAAAGAAACAAAATAAAATTTTTATTTTATTATTTTAATTTTTTTATTCAAAATAAAGTAACTATGAATATTTGACTTCAGACAGTTAAGTCCTTTATGCACAATGGAGATGCCAATTTCTCCAATTTTTTTTAACGTAAGCAATGTAGTCATGGTCCAAACACAGATTTAGTCTCTTCCACCTTCAAGGTTTTTTGTGTTCACATTTTTTACAGATCTGTTGTCCATTTTGGTTGTCTGAAGAGTGTTCTTAATAGGACTATTCTCTATTGAGTCCACTGCTACCTTTGTTGTCAAAGGTTTAGACAGTTTTTGAGAGAGGAATTTGTCCATTTCCATAACCTCTTTTTCTTCTTCTTCTTCTTCCTCCTCTTCCTCATACTCTGTATACTCCTCTACTCCATCGTAAGTTCTTTTTTGAGGAGATATAAAATTTTTCTGTTCATAATGAATGCCTTTATGACTGTAAGGTCTATCTATAGGGTTCCAAATAGGATTTAGAGGTGCCCACTGATTATTTGTAGCTTCTTCTCTGGATGGGCGATTTCTTTCTCTCTCTTTTCTTCTCTTTCGTGTCCACCACACACAAATTATTATGCAGGTTATCCATACAATACTAAAAACTACACAGAGGATTGGAACCAGATAATCTAGAAAGCAAACCAAACACAACTTAGAAAGGGAATCCTGAAACTATACGGAGTGCAAATGAAATCTCCAAAAGGCATCATAAACACCATTTCCAATGAGCCATGCAATCAAAGAATTGTTTTTGCAAAATTAATGAATAGGGATATAGGAAGCAGCTATTATATTTATATTTTAATAAGGGCTGCTTTGAGATGCAATCAAAGAATTGTTTTGCAAAACTAATGAATAAGGACATAGGAAGCAACTATCATATTTACACTGAATTTTTAATAAGGGCTGCTTTGAGATGGCATTAAATGTCTGTTTTAATTTATCGACAAAGTCACAAAACATTATCATTATCTAAGCAAGTACAATATAAAATAGAAAAATGAGCAAATATAACTTCTTAATAATCAAGATGTTATTTTTTAAAAAAGGGAAATGGAAATCTGTTTTACACTATGTATCAAATTTGTCACTTGAAATACCTGTGTCAGTCATTTATGACACAGTAATTTTAGACACACTTGGACACAGAAGAACAGCCTTTCAATGCAATATACTGGGATGATTTTTTGAACCAGCATTCCTTTTTCCAAGAAGAGTGGCTTGAATGTTATTCGTATCACTCCCCTTTGTAGAATAGGAGAGAAATACTGTCATGATTGGGGGGGGGGGGGGGCATTCTCATAACACAACCATTAAATTAAAAGCGGAAAGTTATTTGAATAGACATGTGGAAAAGGCATTTATTTTAGTATTTACACAATTTCCTATTTATAATTGATTCCTTCTTTCTTCAGACAAGTATAGAAGGAATATGGGTAAACACATTTCAATAAAAAAGGAAAGACATAAATTTTACTTAAATTTTTAACTTAAGCAACTCTACTTCAGAACATTAAAAAAAATCAAAACCAAACCTCAATGCTTAAAAGATGTACAAACAAAAACTAAAGATGATAGCCAATTCCATTCTATGTAAACTACTACGGGATTTTTTTTTTAAATGAGAAACAATTTACAAGTATAGATAGTCCTTATTTAATGACCACAATTGAGACTGACAATTCAGTTAAGGGAAGTAGTTGCTAAGTGAAACCATGATTACAATCTTACTTCAGTTTTCCTTTGCCTTACAGACCTGCAAAGGTTATAAATGCAAGGCTTAGAGATAACATTACTTTTTCATGACCACTATAACTGCAAACAGTAGCTAAACAAGACAGTTGCTAAACAAGTAGTACTTGTACTATAAAATCAGTATATTCTGAGGTAGGCACACTGTCTCAAATGCATATTTTATCTTACCTGATGAAGAAGAATTCCCAACTACTATGGTCTCTATTTTGACTTCTGTTACTGCTAGCATAACTGTGCTGTTTTGCCGCCTTGTAATCGCATTTACTATAGTATTGGCCGCATTCTGTATGAGACTATTATCCGTCTCATCCTGATGCGAGATGAAAGACTAGGAAGAAAAGACAAACAGGAAACTTAAATTTAAAAGTAACTACTTTCTTGAGACTGATGATGGAGAACTTGAGAATTCCAGTTGACTGCTGTGGCATGAAGATTGGTTTCAAACCAATATGAAAGTAAGGTAAAAGGTAACGATTTCCCTCTCCAATCATGTCTGACTCTAGGGCGTGGTTCTTATCTCCGTTTTTTTGGCCGAGTTTTCCAAAGATATTTTCATGGTCATGTGGCCAGCATGGCTATACGCCAAATGCTGTTACCTTCCCAACAAAGTAGTACTTATTAATCTACTCGCCTTTGCATTCTTTCAAACTGCTAGGTGGGCAGTTATAATATGAAAGTATTGCACTAATATAACACTTATAGGTATAATATTATACATGTATATTAGTATATACTATACTAATAATATTTAATAATTCAATCATTTAATCAACTAATCAATTTTTATAGTAGCCTAATTGACTCCTCCATCCAGTTGACTAAACTGGTTACACAACTGAAGATTTTTTATTATTTACAGCAAGCTAAACTTTTAAATGTTGAATTAACATTTATAAGTTTTTGATGTATTATCTGGCTAGATATTTGCATTAATGATATAATCTGATACATATATAACACAAACTTTCTTCAATTTGTATCACACTTGAGGTGGGTAAGTTAGCTAAGAATGATCAGTTAATATTACTCAGCAAAAACAATGTCATCAAGCAGTCTTTAGTCCTTTCAAACCACTTTTCCTAGTTTCCAGGATGAACTCATATTATTACCTTTCTGATAACCAAGGCACTTTAGTTTAGCCAGAAAAGATAAATCTGATTTATATGGCTGCCCATCTTGCAAATGTTAATCTGGGCAGCTAACAGAATTTTAAAAAGCACAATCAATGAAATAAAAAATAAACAGCAAAAGACAAGGACAGACAACATATAACTGAGAAAACCAGCAACCAATCCAACTGAGCTCAATTAACTTTCCAACCCCCATGCCTGGAAAAATAGCTAAGTCTTCCTGGGTTGCACATAATGCCATTATCTCATCAATAGGGCCTGGAACATGTCCCTCCTGGCAGATTTGGGACAGGCAGAGACAACTGGAAAAAGGCCAAACACAGCTGTATGTCATGAAAGCTTTATAGATGGCAAGTAGCACTCTGAAGTGCACTAAGAAGCCTACTAAAAATACTTCTATTTCTATCTTTTGGGCTTTGACGGTGGTATATAAAGTAGGTTAGCACTAAAATTAGTTAAAAACAGGTGACAAAAAATTAAAAATAGCAAAGAATCATGCTGAAAGCAAATCTAACATCCACACATTCTCTGCATTTTCTTTTATCTCTTAAACTGAATTACACTCCATTTCTATTTGCATAAATCTCACATCTGCCTTCAATAACTGAATGAACATTCACTTTACATGAATCTGAAGGGATACTTTCTCTTTCACTGAAGAAAGAGACAATCCCTTTCTCCTTCTGGGTCATACCAACACTTACGTTCTTTCTTTGTTCAACTTCTGCCCTTTTCTTGGACAGGTTCATTCATAATAAGCAAGTCCTCAATAATAATTAGCTCATTATCCAAATCTTGGGTAGTTATTACTGTATCTACTAAGCCGAATATAGCCTGGCACTACACAGAAAGTGCATTAATTTTAATTTAATAAAAATGTAATACTTACAACAGCAACTTCCACTGCATTGTCTATGGAGTAGGATAGGTCACACAACACTAACAATATTCTTTCACTAGAAACAGATCTAGTGGCTGGTAAATATCTTATTTCAGAGCATACATTTTCAACAGTAGTACCCTGAGAGAAGAAAATGTAACAACAGGAAATAAAAATTAAAGTGCATATTATTTTATAGAAAACTTAACTATTAAACAAAAAAAGTAATCAGTGTTATAACTTACAACATAAGGAAACTCCTTATGTTACAATGTACATTAGTAATATTAGAAACACTATTCTCATATTCAGCAATCTCACTGGACTGCTACCGGTATATACTTGACTGGAGATATGCAAGGAAATGGTGCATGAAATTTTAACAAATGTATTCTATTTTCCTCTATCTCTTTAGCAAGAAGGTGGTCAGAAATGAGGTTCTGGTTGTCAGCTGCAAAAGATGTACCCTTTCCTTTCTCCTAGAACAGAGGTCCCCAACCTTTCTAGATTGGCAGCCCGGAGGGAAAGGAAGGGGCAGGCATGGAGCCACATGTGCGATGCAAACGGGGGTGGCGCGAGAGTGCGTATGATGCTGGGGCTAACTCCCGTGCAACGCTCAAGGTGGCATTAGTGCGAGTGGGGGGGGACCCTTGTTCTAGAAAACAAAACATTAGTAGTTAAAGATGCTGGCCTAGAAACCAGGAGACTGTGAATTCTAATCTAGAAAACTAGCTGGGTGATTTTGGGCTAGTCATTTTTTCTCAGCCCAATTCACCTCACAGGGTTGTTGTGGGGTAAAATGAAGGAAGAAGTATTGTGTTCACCACCTTGTTAATAAAGGTGGGATAAAAATCAAATCAGACCAGATCAAATGATAAATAAAGAAATGGAGATGGTGGAGATTCTGAAAGCAAAGTTTGGTGAACTGGAGGCAAAGCATAATCCTTATAACTAATTCCCTTAAAATGAATACTTCCCAAATAATAGCGTGGATGCCATTACTTCTCATAAACAGCAGAATAATATGAAATGTACAACTTCAACAAAGGATAAGAATGAAGATAGCTGGCAACGTTGCTATCACAAAGAAAACTAATACGAAGCAGAGTAAATTCCTAGTTTTGATAGCCAATTTCCACCTTTATCCTTTGGATATGCTTTTAAAAACAAGAGCAAGCTACAAAAGCTAGAATTTCATCATCTGATTCAAGTGGACATGGTTTACTACCAATCACAAGAAGAATAAAAGAAAGGCTATGATTCTAGATCACGGGTGTCAAACTCGATCGTGTCACGTGACGTATCGCGACTTTTTTGTCTTTGCGGAGCCGGGGCGGGTGTGGCCTGCACGTGACACATCTGGCCCACGGGCTGCCAGTTTGACACCCCTGTTCTAGATGATTCCTTCCAAGAGACACAGAAGCTTCCATTTGTCACCCAGTTCTTCCATTTCCACACATATACTATCTTCCATGTGCCCAAATTCAAAATGCAAAGGAAAAAAATGACCTGGCACATCAACCTACCAGTCTGTGAGCACAGAAAAGGCAATACATCCAGCATATCAAAAGCAACTTCATGGCTTTCAGGAAGGTGAAAAAATGGAATAACCAGCAGACAGTTCTTTAATGATATAAACTTCAGGGATGATGGGCTACTTTTAAAAGATGGAATTCATCTCACTAAAAAGGCAAATTACATATTTGGATGATTGGCTATGTTGGGAGGATGACTTTAAATAGAAACAAGGCTTTGGCAGTCATAAGAGCATAAGTTAGAAACTGGCAAATAATGGATTATATACAGCAGTAAAGTGTTTTGCATTAGTTTAACAAAGAAAATGCAGATAAATGGAGACTAAACTTAAGCAGATAGACATTACCTTAAATGTCTCTACACTAATGGACAAAGTTAGGCAAGGTGAATGGGATGTCATAAGGCACAAATAAAATAAATAAATAAAAATATGATAGAATAGGAACTGTAAAAAACATGGTGGGATGAATTCCTCCAGTGGAACATTGGGCTTGATGGGTATACCTTGTTTCATAGCAACAGGCAATGTAAGAATGGTGCAGTGTTGTATATCAAAGAAATGATCTATACAGAAGTCCAATGGAGTGTTGATAATGGAGTACTGAAAGCATCTGGGTTAAGATAAAAGGGCAAGCAAAATAAAAAAGATTTCTTACTAAGATTTGGCTATAGACCACCAAACCACTCAAATTTGTAAATGAAAATTTAATGAAACAGGTAACTGAAGCCTCAAAAAAAACATGAAGTGGTTATAATGGGATTATTAGTGTTCTTGATTGTGAACAGAAGTTTGGTTTAATATCCTACCATAGCAGTCTCAAAGCTTCAGCTTGGAAAAACAGGAATGAGTTTACGAAGGCAAGGCAGAAAGTGAACTTAAGCTAGCAAGAGAAGCAAGAAGGGTTATTCATATCATCAAGACGACAAAAAGAAGTGGTGGGCTCACTGTTTACTCTGATGGAGAAGTCTTAAAAGAATGCAGAGGAACTTAACTCTTGTTTTGCTTTTGTCTTTATATCTGAAGGAAATTGTGATTTGAATATCATAGACTGGGAACACACTCAACAGAGAACAATGCAAGTCAGTAAGGATATTATAAAGGAACTTCTAATCAATTTAAATGAGGGGACAAGATGTCCTTCAACAGAGGAAAATATTAAGTATTAGGGAGAAAAATGGAGAACATGCATAAGATGAGGGATTCATGGCTTGAAAACACTTCAATGGAGAAAAATGTGGGTATGGATCAGCAGCAAGCCAACTGCATTAGAAGAAATACTATACATAAAGGTCTCATTATCTTCTATTCTGCATTGGTGAGATTAAATCCAGAGTGATATGTACATTCAGGGTACTGCATTTCCAGTATACTAATGGGTCAGTACATGTTCAGAGGATGGTGACAGACATATCATATACTCTATAAGGGCACGTTGAAGACATTTAGGATGTTGCATTTAGAGAAGATTGTGGGAAAACATGATATCAATGTTTAGGTACATTAAAAATGGCATAGGAAGACGGTCAGGAAGTAATTTCCATTATCACAGAATCAGAAATAATACATAAAGTTGTAGTTAACGAGATTTTGCTTAAATATAAGGAAAAACTTTGTAACAATAAAATCTGTACAAAAAGAGTGGTTCTATGGAGATTATGAGTTCTTCATCTCTTGAGATTCTTAAAAAGAGGCCGACAGCCATCTTTCCTGGATGTATTAACGAAATTTCATTTTTGAGGTGTGCCGTTGTGCCCACAGTAAAAAAATGACAATAAAGGTTATCTTATCTTATTTTCTTGTACATTCGTTCATTGAAATTATCATCATGGTTCCTTCAAATCCCACAATTATTACATTTATAGCATGTTGATGAAATGGATCGAAATCAGTATACATGAAAATTGCCAGAATTCTCATTTATATTATTTTCCTCACTTAAGGATTTCAATTCTTCAACAAAGAAAATATTTTCAAGAAATGAAGAGAAAGAAATGTACCTGCCATAGAATTCTGCCTCTATTCTCTTGAGTATCACAAGAAATTCATCTAAGAAGTATTCAATTATTAAGAAACCATTTATCTATAAAGCAATTTCATCCAAAATGTACTAATTGACCATGGTGGGAATGGATGGAAAAATGTGAACAGAATAAATTAAGTGTGATAAGGGTTGGATCCAAAATCTTTGTAAAATTGGGCCTGCTTCCAAAATTGTTGCATTTCCTTTCCAACTGATACAGATGGAATGGTAGCACAAGGAAGCTACACCAGCTGACCAAATAGAACCCATCCTGCCAAAAAGCTCATTCCACAAAAGGCCAAATAATAAGCAAATTTTGAAAAAGATGGTCATTGAAAAATAAGGTCATTCCCAAGAGAGTTTGGGGAATTTTGAAGTCTTAAATATATTCCAGGAAGAATATATAAATAATTTCCCCAATACTTGTAGCAGAAGCAAACTTGGAACTGATTATATATTGTTCACTATTTTTCCACACACCTACCTAATTTTTATATCAAAAACTGGTGGCAATTTTAAATAAGACACATGGAATCCTTCACAATTAGAAAAAATGATTTTGTACAAGAGAGCTGATCTTTATTAACATTCCATATAACCAGACAGGAATATTTTCCTAAGAAAAAGATCAATACAGAATACCAACAGACTTCAAAATAAAATAAAATTTTCTCTCTCATTGCCTCCAAAGCAGAAATGATGAAAGTGCTACAGACCAATTAATAACAATTAGAATTTTGCTAGCAATGTGATCAATTCCAAAACAATATGCTGTGTAAAACACTAGCAAAATCTAAACAAAACTTAAATGTCTTACCTGGGGTACTTTATCTCTGTTAAAAATCAGAGTAATTCTTGCACAGCTATTGTCCAAGTGGCCTGAATTGGGGAAGCACTTGATGTTAACAGGTAGAGGTTCTGATTCACTGCATTCTCCCCAGTCAGAGCAAGGTGGTTGGAAACATTTGATGTATGAATTTTCTTGGCATTCTTGGCCTCTAGGACATTGATAACTAGAATGGTCCCCATGTTTGGTAAGCAAACAAGATTTCCTTCCACACCATACCTAGAATTTAATACAGACCTATTGATTTCAATGGATTGTAAAAGGAAACACTAAAGGAGATTGTAAAATTAATTCTTATCAGTGTCTATTCATGTCATTCAAGCATGTTTTTCTAGGGTTATACTCATAACAACTTTTTCTTGTTCCTTATCTACATGTAGTCCTCAGTTAATAATGGTAATTGGAATTGAAATGGTGCACAGGTGGGTTAGTGAGGGGGTGGGTCCAACACAGTTGGGATAGCTGCTGGTGGGCAGGGGAGGGGAAGGTGCATGAGTGGTTGGTGATGTATGGTGCGGTTGCTACTGGGCAAGTGAAGGTATGTGGGTGGCCGATCAAGTGCAGGGTGAGTGTGGCAGGGCTGGCTGTTGCTGGGCAGGGGAGGCTATATGGTGGTCAATGTGGCACGAGCACAGCAAGGCTGTTGTTGGGCAAGGGAGATTGTGTAGGTGGATGGTGAGGCAGGGCTGGAGGTGGCTGCTGCTAGATGAGGGAGAGTGCGAATGACTTGCCAGTCACTCAACAAGGATATAGCTTACTTTTTCCTAAACATTGTTGCTGGTGGCAGAATATGATTTAGAGGCTTGCACTGTGGCCCAATAGCCATGAATTTAAGATATCAAATTTAAAGTATTATTTCATCAGCCCTAGACTAATTTCTGGGCATTGTAAGAGTACTTACTAAAACATTCAGAGGAAGGTTGCCATAAAGATACATAATTAATAAATTCATTTCACATTGTTTAAAGTGGGAGAAGAATTCAATGAAAAATTACCTTGGTACAATCAATGTGGCCATCCAGACAATGGCAACTGTTGCATTCTTGATCCCATTTACTCCTGTGAGGAAAGGACTTTCCTTTAAACCAGCAAGATTTTCCAGAGCCTATAACTAAGGAGAAAGAAGGGAAGGAAAGGCAGCAATTTGAGAATGGGAAATTTAACCTAGGAAGAAAATGCCAAGTTCAATTTGCAGATAAAGCCTGACAATCACGATTTTCAAGATGTAAACTTCAATATCTATTTTCTTATTTTAGTTTACAGCTTCAAATTACCTTCTTGGCATCTTGTTCCAGCTCGGCCAGCAGGACAAGTACACCTGTAACCATTTATTTCATCAATGCAAGTAGCACCATATGCACAAGGAGAGGATTGGCATTCATCAATATCTAAAGAAAACGAAAATTCAAGGGATTCAGAAAAAACAAGTGCTCAATGCATGAATTGCTATGGATATTAGCAACTTTTACTAGAATTTATTCAGATATTGTATTAGTAGCTTTCTTCAAACTTATGGCTTTGAGATCCATTGAATTAGACTGAGTCAGCATGACCATTAGTTTTAATGTCTGAAGATGATGGGTGCCGTAATCCATTATATCTACAGATCTGATGCTAGGAAATCTTTATTTTAAAAAATATCTCTTTGTATTGTTTCCTCCCATCGCTTATCCTCTTTAGCCGTTATAAACTTTCTCAGGTAAATTAAAGTAAGCATCCATTTTCTTTGAGACTATCTTACTAAGGCAGAAAATTTGGAAGTTGGTTTTACTTAGTTAACCACCTCCTGCACATGGAAGCCAACTATTTGTAAGTGTTACAAAGTAGAGAAAATACAACCTCTGTAAGAAAATCAGTAGGGTTCCAATTGTGGCAAAGAATGAAACTCTGAGAATCCTAACCTGCTTTCTTTTGAAACCAGTGCTTTTAGGTACAAAAAAAAGAGACAATTAAAGTGAGAGTGAGAGATAAAACAGTTTTTACCAATCACTAAACTTTCAGAAATCTGTACATACGCTATTTCAAAATTTGAATATATTGTTAGACTGCTGTGTACCAACACACATCGCTTCTAAGTATAAATTTTATAACATCTCTCATTTTTTATTCAGCTCCTCTTGCCTTGGCATTTTTTAACATCAGGTTGTCATATATTTTCTCTAATCTTAATTAATTTCAAACTCTTAAAAAAATTCTCTAATTCCCTATTCTGTTTTGAATGCATCATCACTATACTCATGCTTGCTGTGCTTTTAAAGTTAACTGGTCTTAATTATTTCTAAATAATGGAATATATAAATTTATAAATTATCAGAATTGTTTCGAGTGAGCAATATTTAATTGGACTTGGGACTTAAAAGGCTAATTAACAAAAGTCAGAATTATTTCAGCTGTAAAGAAAGTTCAGAGACTTTTTGTTCAAACACAAATAAAAACAGGTTGTCAGTAATTCTTACATAAAGCAGTAATATTGTGCTGAGTATTAAAAAAAAGAGCATTCTGTTCAAAATGTAATCTTTCTTTAGATAGAGTCATACTTTAACTATAGTCATAGAGGCTGGTCATCTGTGAATGCATAGATATAGAATACATATATACATAGAATCCTGACTTGCTTGTTTTCTTGCAGATGTTTCATTACCCTAACTAGGTAACATAATCAGTGCTGGTAAGGAATGCTGTTTGCTGTCAGTTTATATTCTGGTGTCTTGCCTGTCTGTGTGGGTGGGGGCAGTCTTAGGGATTCTTTGATTGGGCTGTTTACTAATGGCGCTTTGGCAGTTTCGTGATTGGGGTATTGCTTACTTGATTGTTAGTCTGAAGTTGACCTTGGAGTTAGCTATACTAATCTGAGTACTGATTACTGGTGGAGAGGTGCTGGAGTCTTTTTTCTCTTTTGGGCGGGTTGATTGTCTCTTTTGCATAGTCTATAGATGTTATTAATGTCAATGTATCTATTGATGGCTGATTTGTCGGAGTGCCAGGCTTCTAGAAATTCCCTGGAACTTTTGGATTTGGCCTGGTCTAGAATTGTCACATTTTCCCAATTGAAACTATGGTTAAATCTGTCTATATGTTGTGAAATTAAAGAATTTTCGTCATGCCTTTTGACTGCCAGTTGGTGTTCATGGATGCATTCTACCAGTCTTCTGGCATACATAGAACCCTGTTTGGATCCATTTGGAATTAAGATTTCTATCTGTGCCTTTTAGCAGAGTTAGCAAGCCTTGGTCTGAGGTATCTCCTAATACAATTTACCATTTGTGCCTCATAGAGTCTAGAATGGATGAGACTAAAAATCTTAGAACTTAGTTTTGTCTGATTTGGGACAAAACAAGTATCTTATGCCTTAGAAAGCTGAAGTTTAAAACAAAAATATGTTTGCAACCTCCCCAGTCTAAAAAAAGAAAGGAGCCCAAAATTATTAGCCCTGTCCACTCCAATTTATTATGTTACTGGCCACATCCATGTTACTCCCTGACATGGTAGGAGGAAAGATGACTTTCAGGCAAATCATTGTTGTTCATCTCTAAGATATTCTGCCCAGTGTTTCCCTTCAGTTCCAAAACAATGGACTTGAAAGTAAAATAGAAGTGATACCAACTGAAGTAGGATGGATAATTTGTAGACATAAATGACGAAAGAACCCATTATTTCTAAGCAACTATTCTTTATAATGGTGTCTCTGATTCATAGTTATCAGAGAACTTAATTAATTACTTCAAAGAGAGCAAAAGACTCTATGAGATATACTTGAACTGCTCTACTAAAATAAGTATTCTGATAAGTTCACAAATCAGGTTAATGATGAGGGGTGAATGATATTTGCCAGATGTAGTCTTCTGAATCCTATCAAGAACACCTTTAACCTTTAGATTAAATAGGCCTTGGCCACTGCAGTTTCCATATACATTTGAGCCATTCAGGCAAAACAAAAAGCACTCAAAACCCCCATTACTTCTAATTCAAAATGGCAAGCAGTTTCAAATTGTTGTACTTCATCCCAAAATACTTCTGCATTTAATACATTTTCCAATTTTTTTTATATATTTCAGAAAATGAATAAAAAATAACACTACTTTCAAAGAGGTAATTCTTGGCCGTAAAAAAATTGATAGCTCCACTTCTAAGCAAAAAGGCTCAAGAAGAATAGGCTTCTTCTTGCCTGTGGGATCCACACTTTCTGTCTTCCTAATCCAAAATAGGTGAATTTTGTTTTTAACATTAAGAGGTCTCCATGATGACAAAATGGGAAAAGTGTTTAAGAGGAAGAACCAACCATCCTCTTGAATCCCAGAGAGGTTCTCCATCTTTTGGAAATGGGTATCATGGATGGAAATGTGGATTCTGTATTTTTGTGCATAAGTATGATGTCACTTTGAATCTCATGGAACATGGGCTGGCCAAGATGCCATCATCAAGTCAGAACTTCTTAGAACTCAAAGATGGTTGGTTTTCCTTAGGAGTGGGACATTCAAATAACTTGAATATATTTTGGAGGGAAGCATGGTGCCAAAGCCAAGTGATAATAAATCCTAAACATTGAAGATCAATTTATTATGCTGATAAGAGGTTAAGGTAATAGAAAGATCTAATAAGAACTGGCTCAACAAGTGAAAGCATAGAAGTAGAAGGGGAAAGAACTGGTTAGCTGCTTTTATCCAGGCATAAAAGAACAGGTTGAAAAAAAGATGCAAGTGGGACCATACCAAGCATTACCCTTTTCATAGCTTGTGTTGGTTGTGCTGTGTATATTGAGTAATCAGGAATCATCATAGTTCACAAACAAACTAAAGCCCTCCAAAACATCTTAAGTAAATCAAAAGACTCAGTAGCCCAAGAAGTAAAACAAGAGTCATCTACAACATACAATATACGGAATGTTAACAGCCACATTGTAAGAAAAACAGGCAGAAGACTAGCAGAGCATATCCATAAACACCAACTAGCAGAGACACAATGAAAACATGCTTGATTTCTTAACACATTAACAGACTTTACTATAGTTTCAAGTGGGAAACAGTGAGCATCCTAAACTAAGCAAAATCCAAAATCACTAGGGAAATCCTGAAAGCAAGGTACTCAGACAAATCAGCCATCAACTGGCACAAAGAGATAAACAACATTTCCACACCATTCAAAAAATATCCAGGAGTTTATCATTTTTGATCTTGGATGGGGATGCAGTACTTCAGACAGAGCTGCTATATAACTTGGGGGTCCTCTTGTAGAGCAGGTGGCTAGGAGGGCTTTTGCTGAATTTCGTGTTGTGTGCCAATTATGCCCTTTCCTGGACAGAAACACCCTTCACTTGATCACTCATGCCCTGGTCATCTCCCATTTGGACTACTGCAATGTTTTGTATATGGGGCTGTCCTTCAAAAATATCCAGAAGCTTCAGCTGGTGCAGAGTGCACAAGATATATTGGGTGCCCGAAAAAGAGCACATGTAACATCTCTGCTCCGTGAACTGCATTGGGCGCCAATTTGTTTCCAGGTCCAATTCAAGTTGCTAGTTATGATCTATAAAGCCTACAGAATGGCTTCTTCCATCACATCAGTCCATCCCACCTGATCAGGAAGGGAAAGTATGTTGCAAACCCTGTCAAAGAATTTCAACTGAGGAGGTCTAAGAAGACTGCCATTGCCCCTGCCCTATGGAATTTTGTCCCCAGAGATCAGGTGGGCCCAGACTCCCCTGGCCTTCTGCAAAGGGGTTAAAACATGGATTTGTTATCTTGAGTAGGGATCCCAAAGGAATACACAGTTATGGAGTTTGTTGGTGCCATTAAGAGCCCTTCCTTTGCCTTACTAATTTTAACAGGGTGTAACTATTCTTACCTTCTTGAACATTTTTATAACTTTTATTTTTTAAACATTTTAATTCTAACATTTTAATTTTTATATGTTTTATATTTTGATGTTTTATTATACACTGCCCTCAACCCCTCTTTGAGGGAGATGGGCAGTTCAGAAATGTAAAATATAAATAAGTAAAATAAAAAACATAAAATTAAAACAAAAAGACCACATACTTCCTCACCATCAACACTCAAATAAACATGGGTTAACCCCTGGATTAACAACTAGACAAACAATCAAGCAGTAAACAATACCCTAATCAAGAAACAACCAATTCAGACTAACAATCAAGCAGTAAACAAAAAGAAACTGCCAAGGAGAAAACAATACTTCCACCAATGATGACAAGGAAAGCTACTGTATAAAAACAGAAAAAAAGCCCACTCCCTTCTACCACTGAAAATGTTACCTAGTCAGTTAATCCCAAAGCTGTTGTTCAAAAGGCAACTAGACTTTCTTGTTTTTTTTCCTTGAAAAAGTTTTGCTGCCCATCCAAGAAGCTTCTTCAGTTCTTGGATCAGAAGGGAAATGTTTTCAAGGAAAAAAACAAGAACAGCAGCTTTGGGACAACCATGACCTGGATGACTGAAAATCTCCATAGATATCTAGTCAGTTAATGAAATGTCTGCAACAGAAGACCAAGGACTCCACAGTTCAAACCTGAGCTACATATATTCTCTTCTATTGTTAATACAGCATGCTGGCAAGAAATGAGATTAACATGATAAAGTGCTAACAGTCATACTTGAGGTAAAATAATGCAGCAATTTAAAGTAAAAAATCATGATTGGTGTAATACTAAGAGATCAGGCTTCTAAAGACCTTAGTAAGGCCATAGTAGGTGAGATGCTATGGACATATGTGTCAGGGCTTTCCAGGGTGAGTGTTCTAAACATAAGAGAGACAAAGTGTGTTTATTCAGTGGAGAGAATCTATCCCCACACTCGTTGTATTTGAAATAAAGCAGCATTCAAAGCCCACAGTCCCAAAACAGGGGAGAAACATTTAAAGAGGTGTGCATCCCAATATAAACACAGAAATGACAGCTGAGAGAAAATTATAATTAGTAAAAAACAAACAAAATAAAACTGCAAATAACAAATGGAATTGGCCATCATTATGGAAGTTGAAAAATAATTTAAAAGAAATATAATTTACATAAAGGACAGGACAAGGTTCCTACCATCTTAGTTCTGGAATATTCTGAATGGTCTTTGCAAAGGGTTTATAACCCATGTATAAATCATAAACATCATAATGAAGAAATATATAGATAAATCTGCAGAAATAATAAACAAACATACTACAGGACATTCTTAAGTTGAGTTGAATATATATTAAAGATCCTGGCTGAATATGCTAGTATCATACATTTGTTTAGAAATAGCAGATAATTTAAATACAATTTAAACCACATTAATTTATAAAATGTTATTTATAACAGAATTCTATCTACCGTAATAACAAAAAGAGCACCATTCCTTCTAAGATAAACATCCGCATCTATGAATAATTCAGTTAGTTTCTGCATTATTTGAGATACAGCTGACTAAAATGTAACGCATGGGTAAGGGTAAGACCTGACAACAGTGTGAATTTTTCACTCATTTTCCTATATAGATACTTACTAATTCTGCAGTCAGGACCAGCAAACCCAGGTGCACATTCACAGCGAAACCAATTCACACCATCAACACAGATGCCTCCATTATAACTGTAAAAATGATAAATCTATCATCACAATGAAGGCTGTCAACAGTTTTTTAAGTTGAGAGAACATTACTTTTTGTATAAAATAATGTGCTGAAATTCAAATTTATTTCTATCCATAGTCAACATTGCAAAATTCAAGTTGTGTAGTTAATTTATAATGAATGCCTATTTAATAAAATATTTGTGTTGTCTTAAGTTGTTAATTTAAATTTAGTTAATTAAATCTTCAGTCACACTGAGCAAAGGCCTTACTTCTATTAACAGAAGCAGCATTTAAAGAATGTTAATAATGGGTAATAACAACTTTGATTTAAACTCCCCAAATTCTATTAAAGCAGAGGAAAATATAGGTAACTACATTGTATTTTATAGGAATATAAAATAGATTTTTTATTATTTCAAAAATAAAAGACATTTTAGTAATGTGACTATATAATTCAATAGTAACTAATCCAATCACATGATTTAGATTTTACTTCAAACAAGGATATGGAGTTTTAGAAATTTATGACTTAAGAAACAGGACATTTTGAATGCAATTATATTAAGTTGCACAATTTCATAAATTCTGTAACCTCAAGGAAGTGAGAAAGGTATGAGAAAGCCCTTTAAAACTGTTCATTTTGTGGTTGCCAAGCGTTGACAATAACTGAATGCTACATAGTCAAGAGTATTGACCCATGAAGGGACACTGGGGAAATCTAATAATGAAGATGCAAGTAGGAAGTATTTTCTCAAAAATCTGGAAAAATACTGCATGTAAAGCTATGTAGATAAAGCTGGAAGAAAATGTTCAATTGCATATTTAAGCATTTAATGCTGTGCACAAAACCAGAAAATTCAAAAGGAAATTTGCAAAGAGGCAAGCTAATACTGAGGTAGAACTATGATGAGTACATTACTATACACACAGCCAGAATTATTATAAGTAAACATGAAATCAAAAGAGACAGAGTAGGCTTAATACTGTGTGATAATGGAAAAAGCAAATTTATTATCCTTATTTATATATATAATTATTTATAATTTTGTCAGTTCCTTTGTAAGTGGTCATGAATGCCCCAAAAGGCAGAATACAAATTGAATGAAAAATTAAACACATGATAAATCCATGCCTAGGTATGCATGTTTACACTTACAGTACATACTTGCACTTATCTCTCTTCAAAACCAATATTGTATGAAAGGTATAAATAATGGTCTGTGCTTCATGCTTTAAAAGCTAACGAGTCAAGATTCATAATCTTTTGACATTATTTGCAGCAAAGGTGCTTACTCTACTCTTTTACACTGTTTGAAATACATAAGCTTGTTTTTTAATTGTAGAAAATTTGGGCATGAAAAATCTTGCTTGCTTCCTCTTCATGTATGAGCATGCTATCACTTCACTAAGTTATACAAATATAACCTGTAGCTTCAAATAGGGAAAACAAAATTAATTTAGGTGACTATAGATCCTTTCTGGACTCAAAATAAATGGTTAGATCAAAATGGATATTTGAATTTTTGGAACAATTTAGATTAACCTCCCTAACTTGATTACTTCCAATTACATTAAATTACAATTCCATGATAACATTAACAATGTATTCTGGAAGCTGCATTCAACACATCTGGAAATATAAGACATCTGGAAATATAAGTGTCTGAGGGAGGGTAATACTACATTAGTTTTTCACAGATACAGATAGTTTGCAACTTATGACTGGTCATTTAACATTTTCCAATAGCTATTTATGTTTTTGAAAGTATGATACCCTCCCCATGGTCATATGATCGCATTTTGGGCGCTTGGCAACTGGCCCACCTTTATGGCCATTTGCAGCAGCCCAGAGTCATCTGTTTTTTTGTCGGTTTCCAGTGTTTACTTCTGATTTCTGCCAAAAAATGCCCATTGGGGAAAACTGAATTGCTTAAGATTCACTTAATTTCTACAAAAAACTGGATCTGGTCACGTTATGCCTTGACTTACAACTACAATGACTTACAAACATTAACTCCGGGCTCAATTATGGTCATAAGTCGAGGACTATGTGTATTATAAAACTCTGCATTGGTATTATATCAATATTTATCACTACTAAGATTGTTTTCTTTAATTTATAGCCTGTTCTGTTGTGGATAGGTACACAAAGTAGCTAATAAAAGTAAAAAATTGCAAAGTTAGAAATATCAGCCTAAAATAATAATCAAATAAATATTAAAATAATCTGATAAATAAAATCTGGCATGCATAGTGCCTTAATGATTTCATATTCAGCAAGAAAGGGTAAGTGACTGGGGAAAGAGGGGAAGGCAAGCCCAAATTTCAAGGGATCGCATTCCTGAGTCAGGAAAAAAGTTACTTCCCCCCCCCCTCCTCTCTTATTCTAAATAGGGACATCAAACAACTAGATCCAAATAATTCTGTTTTAAATGGGATTATTCAAGTAATTTTCTTTTGAGCTAATTTGCCTTCACAAAAATTTTGCAGCTAAGAAATAAATTTCTTAGGAGTAGAGTAGAGTAAGTATAGGAAAGTTCATTTGGTAAGCCCAGCACAATTGCTTAAGATGGATGTGAAGATTTTGAATCATGATGATTTATTTTTATTGCTGTATTAGAGTACTTTGAAAAAGATTGAGTACTTACCATGGATGTGGATTGCAATCATTAATATCTAGAAAGAGAAAAGTAAAGTAATTATTCATCTGAAGTATATAAACAATATTAAATGTAGACTATATCTGAGTAATTCCATCTAATTTTTTGCATATACAAAGTTTCTGTATAGTATGTACAAAAACCTTTCCCCAACAACATACAATAGTAATGGCAATTCTATTCCTATATCCCAATTTGTTTTTATATGTAGTCACAGAAGTATCAATTCTAAAGCTACAAGAAAGTGCTCTGGTGAAATAACACTACTGCATTATTAAATGTGCAAATGGGAAACTCTTTTTCATATTGAAACATGAAATTGGATGATGCGAGTTAAAACCCTTGTTTGCTAGATTTATATTCCAATTTTTCTTGGGGAGCTTTAAGTGGG